GCATTATGCATGAACACCCTTCAGAAAGGTAGGATATGCTATGTCCATCCATGCACAAAGGAAGACTAAATGAACATTCATATCACAGGCAACACACATGAATAATAGACATCCATGTCCAATACATTTCCATGCACAATGATCAATCAACAGCTCATGCGCATCCGTGTAAAATGCAGTTTTCAGTGTCCCTTTTGGAACCTGTTTTTTGAGCAATGAGATTCATTGGATCCAGAACATTCTGAGTCCATGTGCCCTTTTCTAGGATTGTAAATTGGTTTATTTCCAAGATTCAGATGTTGAATGCATCAGTCTTGAGTGTGCAAGATGTTTTCTTGGCCATTGGCTTCAGGAGGTGGAAACCCAAAACCTTTGAAGAGAGAGCCAAAAGTTAAGGATCATTGGACTCCATATCTTGATGAATCCTGTGACTTCGAGGCATGTTGAGAAACACAGCCAGGTCAAGCCCACATAGCCATATTGACAAATAAATGATATTTGCTATTACTTTGCTGGGAAGGAACAGCGTGCAATTGCTGAGAAGTGCAAACCACCTGAACCTTCCATCCAAACATTTCCCTGGATGGAAAGGTTTTGACAGATACTTGGGTTTTTTAACTAACCCACCTCCATCCATTCACATTCTATATGATCTGTATGGAGTTTATACCTTCTCGATGTCAAATGCAGAATTGGCTTTTATGAGACTGTGATTTTTACTTACTGTGAAGCATGTCTGCTTTTCTTCCTGCTGCAGGTTGTTAAAGGGAAGCGTTGGAAATCACCAGTTTATTTATCATCCCCTTTGCAAACCGTAAAATGCCTGCTGGCATCCCGCTTGTAGTTATGAAATTGTTAAGTCAGACTTACAACCTTGTAACTGCTGGGAAATAGTGGTTTACAGCTGTTAATAACCGAATATGACAATATCACATTACTCCCCTGTTGCATAATGCTTAGATTCTCTATGAGCCACAGCTCCAGCAACAAGTTATTCTCTCTTTCCTATGCCGGCCTTAGAATCATAGAATCGTAGAGTTGGAAGAGATCTTGCGGGCCATCCAGTCCAACACCCTGCCAAGAAGCAGGACAATCGTGTTCAAAGCAACCCCAACAGGTGGCCATCCAGCCTCTGTTTAAAAGAAAGAGCCTCCGTCACACTTCAGGGCAGAGAGTTCCACTGCTGAATGGCTCTCACAGTTAGACGTTCTTCCTCATGCTCAGGCAGAATCTCCTTTCCTGTGCTTTGAAGCCATTGCTCCACATCCTAGTCTCCAGCGCAGCAGAAAAGAAGCTTGCTCCCTCCTCCCTATGACTCCCCCTCACATATTTATACATGTCTCCTCTCAGCCTTCTCTTCTGCAGCCTAAACATGCCCAGCTCTTTAAGCCACTCCTCATAGGGCTTGTTCTCCAGACCCTTGACCATTTTAGTCACCCTCCTCTGGACACATTCCATCTTGTCAACATCTCCCTTCAATTGTGGTGCCCAGAACTGGACACAGTATTCCAGGTGTGGTCTAACCAAGGCAGAATAGAGCATGGGGAGCATGACTTCCCTGGATCTAGACACTATATTCCTATTTATACAGACCAAAATCCCATTGGCTTTTTTAGCTGCAGCATCACATTGCTGGCTCATGTTTAACTTGTTGTCCACGAGGATTCCAAGATCTTTTTCACATGTACTGCTGTCAAGCCAGGAGTTCGCCATTCTGTCTCTTTGCATAAGTGGATTCCCAAGCATGAAGGACTTGGATTCTAACCCTGACTTAATTCCAAGCCTGGTTGCATCTGCACTGTAAAGTTAATGCAGTTTGACACCACTTTGAACTCTCGTGGCTATTGAATGCTAGGAATTATAGCTTTAGATGGATTTGTTCCTCCAAAAACTCTGATGCCTCTAAAGGAGCCTATGAGCAGGATTTAAAGAGGCTCCATACTAATAAGAAAGGTAAAAGTTTTCCCCTGACATCAAGTCCAGTTGTGTCCAATTCTGGGGGTTGGTGCTCATCTCTATTTCTAAGCCGAAGAGCAGGTATTGTCCGTAGACACCTCCAAGGTCATGTGGCCAGCATGACTGCATGGAGTGCCGTTACCTTCCCACCAGAGTGGTACCTATTGATCTACTCACATTTGCATGTTTTCGAACTGCTAGGTTGGCAGAAGCTGGGGCTGACAGCGGAAGCTCACGCCCTGGATTCAAACCTGTGACCTTTCGGTCAATAAGTTTAGCAGCTCAGCGGTTTAACCCACTGTGCCATTTATACCTAAAAGACATAGACTAGGGGTGCATCTACACCAGGTATGGGCAAACTTTGGTCCTCCAGGTGCTTTGGACTCCAACTCCTACAATTCCTATTACAAATTACAATTGTGGGAGTTGAAGTCCAAAATACCTGGAGGGTTGAAGTTTACCCATGCCTGATCTGTGGAATGAATAAAGTTTGGTATCACTGCATTGGCCCCATGCTATGGAGTCCTGGGAGTTGTAGTTCACCTTTCCTAACAAAGAGGGCTGGTGCCTATCAAACTACAACTCCTAGGATCCCATAGCATTGAACCAGGGCAGTTCAAGGGGTGCCAAACTGCATCGGTTCTGCAGTGCGGATGTATTTCCCATCCGCATTTGATTCCAAGGGGCATGCTTTTGCAAAATGGGATGTCAACTTGCACATCCCCCAACCAAGCAAGTTTGGTCATATTTTTGGCTGCAACGCCGTCTGCAAATAGAGGAGGAAAGCTCCCCTTCCCATGCCTGGAGAGAATGGCATCTCACCAGGGGTCCATTTGTGGCAATCTGTTTATGATAAGGCCTCAGATTAAGTGTGCCCTTTTACTTATCTCATGTTTCCCATGCTCTGGGTTCATTAGCCGCCGGCGCTATGCCACCTCCGCAGGGAAACAATGCCCATGCATAGGCTGGCAGGCAAGGGATGGAAACCAAAGCCAAGGGAAGGGAGGAGAGCATTTGTGCACAGCCAGGTTGCAGCGTTGACATTTCCAGATAAGCAGCGCACTCACCTTCGGGGTAAAAGAGGTGCCGGGGATATAAATCATATTTTGTTATCTTCCGTGACAAAGAGAGAACACTTACCATGCTGGAAGGTAGGAAATTTTCAAAAACAAACTCTCCAATGTAAACAAAGGAAGACATTCGGTAGGGTTGCCAACTTTCTCTGATGCACTCTTGCCAATCTCCTCATCAAGGGGGCCCTCAGCTGCTCATGGGTGTATCTACACTGTTGAATCAATGCAGTTGGACACCCACTTTCATTGCCATGGCTTAATGTTATGGAATCCTGGGAGTTATAGTATTGTAAGGTCTGCAGCCTTCTCTGCCAGTGAGTGTTTACCAAACTACAACTCCAGGATTCCAGATCACTGAGTCAAGGGAGTTATAAATGACAGCCACTCTCTCTTTCCACAAAAGATAACCCGAAGTACTCAAAAGTAACTTTTCCAAGATATATGAGTCCCAATTGTTTTTAAGATGGTAGGAAATCTGAGCTTGGGAAGGAACTTTCCCTTGCGTTCTTCCCAATCATATGGTGCATCTACACTGTAGAGTTGGTGCAGATTAGCATCACTTTAACTGCCATAGCTAAATATTAAGGAAGCACAGATTTGTAGTTTGACAAAGCACCAGTACTCTTTGGCACTGCCCATGACATTGTAAAGCTACAACTCACAGAATCCCATAGCATTGAGCCACAGCAGAGGGGTGCCAAATGGCATTAATTCCCATTCATATGATGCATCTACACTATAGAGTTAATGCAGATTAGCATCACTTTAACTACCATCGCTAAATACTAGGGCATCACAGGATTTGCAGTTTGACAAAGCACCAGAATTCTTTGGCACTGCCCAAGATCTTGTAAAACTACAACTCTCAAAATCCCATAGCATTGAGCCACAGCAGCCAGAGTGTGCCAGCAGGACTGAAGACTGACACGTCGTAGGTTCGAATCCGGGGAGATGCAGATGAGCTCCCTCTATCAGCTCCAGCTCCTCATGCGGGGACATGAGAGAAGCCTCCCACAAGGATGATAAAACATCAAATAATCCGGGCGTCCCCTGGGCAATGTCCTTGCAGACGGCCAATTCTCTCACACCAGAAGCGACTTGCAGTTTCTCAGGTCGCTTCTGACACGACAAAAAAAAATGAGACCAATGGGCACAGATGACTTAGTCCCCATCTACATTGCTATATAATGCAGTTTAACTGTGTTATATAAGTTTGCACTGCTATGCAATGCAGTTCAATGCAGTTAAACCGTGTTATGAAACTTCATTATATGGCGGTGTAGATAGGGCCTTAAATAACTTGAAAGAGGATAGTTAAAACATGTCTATGCCTTACTCTATGACTTGGAAAGGCAAGCTGTATCGCTGAACACCCAAGTCAGAATCAGCCCCATTGCTGCATTTTTTATTTACATTTCTGATTTCTGGTCAGGAAAGAAAGCCTGCAGGAAGAAAACCAACTCCTTTGAAATGCATTGCTGGAGGAGACTTCTTCAGCTGAAGACAGCCAAAAAGGCGAAGGAACAGGTCCAAGAGTACAACAGCCTAGGGGCCAAAGAGGACTAAACTGAAGTTGTCATGTTTGGGCATATCATGGAGGAGGTGACTCATTGGAAAAGATGAGGCTGGAGAAAGCAGGAAGCAATAAACAGAAAGGCTGTATTACAGATGGGTTGAATGACAGATCGTTGTCCTTACTTCATCACACCAGAGAATGAATCCACTTTCAATCCGGTTTCTGCCTCCTGCAGAATTCTGGAGTTTGTAGTTTAGTGATGCTGTTAAAGGCTCCTCCCTAAACTATAAATCCCAGAATTCTGCAGGAGGCAGAAACCAGATTTAAAGTGGATTTATTCTCTAGTGTGATGAGGTCCCTTAACTACTCTGCTCAGATCTTGCAAAGTCACATCCAAACATTGAAACAGATCTCCAACATGTTGATATTTTCAAAGACAAGTTGACACACACAATTCAGAAATCCGTGTATTATATTCAGCAATCGCGCTCAAACATGCGAGACCGTACCGAAATCCTAAAAGACATTTGTCAATTCACTGAGGATTGTTTGGGGTTCACTGCAGAATGGATGCAAGTTGACAGCACATGAAATGCCATGGCTCAATGTTATGGGATCTTCGGAGACGTCGTTTGGTAACAGTGCCTTTTGGTGGAGAAGACTGAAGACCACAGTGTCAAACTGCATTAAATCCCCAGCATAGACGTGCTCAAAGCTTGGGGATCTCCTCTTTTTACTGTCCAGAGAAGCTGAAGAGAAGTCCTACTGATGTCCTCTTGGATGGCACATTTGACAAACGCGATGGAGCTAATCATCATCCAATTCAGTCAATGTCTGGCTTAATCAGGTGTCCGTTGAAGATGATGTAGACGTCCGACTCCTCGCCGTAGATGCCGTTCTCCCGTTCCCGCTTGAACATCCTCACCCAGACCTCGTCTCCTTCCTGTAGGCTCAGCATGAGGCTCTGGCTCTGCATTATACTCCGCTCACTGGGCTGGGCATAGAGGATGGCTGCCTCTCCCTCGTTCTTCATGATGTGCAGGTAGGTCTCCTTGTAGTTCCAAGTGTGAACGTTCAGGTTAAAGAAGTAGATTCCTGGCACGTAGCAGAAGAACTTCCCCGTGAACATGTTGAAATGACCATGGAGGTTGACCAGTGCTGTGTCGAACACGACGTGCTGGTAATAGTCTGAACTATGGAGTGCCTTTGTGCGGGCCACGGAGAAGGCAACATAATGCTGCTTGCAAGAATCGCCCGGCCGTCCAGCTTGGCCCTTTTGGCCTTTGCGGCCCAGTTGCCCCTGCGGACCGGGGTCCCCCACTTCACCTTCGGGGCCAGAAATCCCTGGGGCACCCATTTCGCCCTTGTCACCTATGGAGAAATGTTTTCAAAAAGGGATGAGACAGTGCATCAAAAACGTAGCCACAGAGTCATTGCTACTATGCATTAATACACCATGCAAACTAAGTCAGTCATGCAATGTCACAAGACCTGGACAAAACTTGGCACACAGAACCCCCATGATGAACTCAAGCTGCTGGACAGGTTTGAGGGGACTGACTCACAATAGTGGGAGTTGTAGTTTACTGTGCAGCCAGAGAGCAGAATGACTCCACTTGAACTGCCAGGGCTCAATGCTATGGACTCCTGGGAATTGTAATTTGGAGAGATATCTGCACTCTCTGGTAGAGAAGCCTTCGAAAACTACAACTCCCTGACGCATCTATACTGTACAATGAATGCAATTTAATCACACTTGAATTACTAGGGCTCAATGCTATGGATGCCTGCAGGGGCGGCTCAACCCATTACGCAAAGTAAGCATTTGCAGTATAGTTGATTTTGCCCAGGGGTGCTCTTGAAGCGCTCTTGGGGGAAAATAGACCTTGACATATGCGAGTTGTAGTTACTGGGATGTATAGTTCACCTACAATCAAAGAGCATTCTGAACTCCACCAATGATGGAATTGAACCAAATATGGCACACAGAACTCCCACGATGAACAGAAAATATATATCAGTGATTGGTTGGGGGGGGGGGGGGGGGGGATACTGTTTGTTTACCATTGAAAATTACCTAGGGCCGCCTCTGGATGCCTGGGAGTTGTAGTTTGGAGAGTGTGAGTTACAAGGCACCTGCACTGTTTGGCAGAAAAGGCCTTGTAAAGCTACATCTCCCATAATTCCATGTACTACTATAGATGCAACTATAATGTAGAATGAATGCAGTTTGATTTCACTTGAACCGCCAGGGCTCGATGCTATAGACTCCTAGGAATTCTTGCTTGACAGAGGAGGCTTAAGGCATTGCAAAAGTATAACTCGTATGAATATACCACTCGGAGTGCTTCTACACTGTAAAATAAATACAGTTTGGCCCGACTTGAAGTTGACATGGATCAATGGGAGTTGACGTTTGGGGAGGCCCCTACACTTTTGATAGAGAAGGTCTTGAAAAACTACAACTCCCATGATTCCATATATTACTCCAAGTGCATCTACACTGTAAAACATATGCAGCTTTAGCCCACTTGACCTGCTATGGCTCAGTATTATGGGACCTGCACTCTTGACAGAGAATGTCTTGTAAAACTAGAACTCCCAACATCCCATATACTTCTCCAGATACATCTATACTGTATAATGAATGCAGTTTGATGCACTTGAACTGCCAGAGCTCAATGCTTCACCAGGTTAGGATTCTATGTGACCAGAATTCAAACCTCACTCAGACATGGAGAGCCATTGGGTGGCGTGGGATGAGTCAGACTCTCTCAGCCTCAGAGGAAGGCAATGGCAAGCTTTGCCTGAATAGTTATTGCTGTGAAAAATCCTTCAGGTTGGACTTGATCAGAACGCACATAAAAACAATAGGAAATGTAGCATCAGTTTTTAGTTAAGGGAGGGAGGCACTGTAGAATGAATGCAGTTTCGGGAACCATCAGCACTCTTTGGTTCAAGGTCTAGTACAACTAGTAGAGCTACATCCCAGGATTTCCTTAGCATTAAGCTAAGGCAGTGAAAGCAGTGTCAAACTACATTCATTCTGCAGTGTAGATGCACCCTAAGGACTTTATCAGATGGAGCCGGAGAAAACAGGAAAGCATCTTCTTGCTTGTAGAATTGTCTCCTTTGAAATTCTGTCTTTAAAGAAGGCGGAGTTCTTAAGACAGACATCACTTCTGGAATACATTCCTTTCAATCCCCTTACTCTAGAAGAGTCCTGTTCTAACTTCCTATAGCTCAGCGTATCTCAACCTGGGGGTCGGGAGCCAGTTGCGAGGCAGTGTCGGAGGGGTCACCAAAGACCATCAGAAAACACAGTATTATCTGTTGGTCATGGGGGTTCTGTGTGGGAAGTTTGACTCAATTCCATTGTTGGTGGGGTTCAGAATGGTCTTTGATTGTAGGTGAACGATAAATCCCTGCAACTCCCATATGACAAAATCAATCCCCCCCACAACCCAACCAGTATTCAAATTTGGGCGTATCTGGTATTTGTGCCCAATTTGGTCCAGTGAATGAAAATACATCCTGTGTATCAGATATTTACATTATGGTTCATAACAGTAGCAAAATTACAGTTATGGAGTAGCAACAAAAATAATTTTATGCTTGAGGATCACCACAACATGAAGAACTGTATTAATGGGTCATGGCATTAGGAAGGTTGAGAAACACTGCTATAGCTGGGCAAATTGGAAGTCCTTGAATAGACTCAGAAGCGGAGTGGGCAGATCAAAAGACAACCTGGCAAAATGGCACTACCTAAAAGAATCCCAAACCTTGTGTGACTGTGGAGCAGAACAAACAACTCCACATCTGTATGCTTGTCCACTGTGCCCTGCCTCATGTACAGAGGAGGAATTGTTGGAGGCTACAGACAATGCCATTGCTGTTGCACGTTTATGGTCAAAAGATATTTACCTGCCTGTGCGCCATCTATTTTTATCGGTTTTATACTAATTTATGCAATGCTTTTGATATGAAATAAAAAATAAGCTGGTATTTTTAAAAAGGAACAAAAACGTTAGCAATAGTCCAATTTTGAAAGCCTCAATTACTATGTGAGAGAAAATGCACCAAAAGCAAGGTGGTAATATCCCACAATTGCACTATTCCTTGGGGTTGCATTAATTTTTTTTAAAAAAGACCGTTCAACGTTCAAGCAGAAAGATTTTGTCAACGAAGTGGAGCATAGGAGCTCATAGGAATGCCCATTCCTCCAGGTCACTGTAACAATCAACATGGGCGAATCTGACAGGCCCCATCCCACGTGCTTTGACGCTCTTTCTCCCATTTCACGTATTTTGAAACAATTTCTCCTCAGCGTCAGTTCCCTCTGTTTCTCCACACTTCTGACACAGTTCATGACAAAACATGACAGCCAAAAATCTGTCTGTATTATATGATGAGCTCTGCCATACTTCATCTATGAACTATTTTAGAAGTGTGTGGAAATGGGAAGGATCCACAAAAAGTGTTTTTAAAACTAGCAATTGCGCAGTTTCGAAAGTCTTGATTGCTATGAGAAAATGCAGCAAAAGCAAGGTGGTGCTATTTTGCAATTGCACTATTCCTTTTAAAAAATTACTGTCCCAGGGTCACGCAAAAGGATCTTGTCAACGAAGTGGAGCATAGGAGACCACCCATAGGAACGCCTATTCCTCCAGCTTGCATGGGATGCAGTCCTAAGTTTACCTCTTGTATTTTTAACACAGGCAGGGACTTTGGCAGCCACAGGAAGAATACAGAAAGATGTCACCTTACCCTTCAAGATGGTGATGTCAATGGTGGGCCGGATCCTGGGCAGACGGTAAAAGGAGTCACTGGTCATCCGCGCAAAGCGGGAGGCGGTGATAGAGGCCGGCTGCTCAGAGGGACCGCAGCATCGGAGGCAGGACGGCGGCCTCTGGCCCTCTTTCCTTGGAAGGGAGGCTTCAGGGCCATGGGAGATACTGGCCGGAAGGAAAGAGGCCAAGAGCAGCAAGAAGAGGGTCTCCATCTCAAACTGGCTAAAGAGGGAAGAAGCTGGGCATCAAAGGTGGGAAACCTAAGGCTGCATCAACATTGGAGAACTAACATCACTCAATGCAATGCAAGGATGGGAGTTATAGTTTGGGAAGGCACCAGAACTCTTTAGCAGAAAAGGCCACAGACCTTATGCAACTCCAGCTCCCTGGATTCCATTGCATCGAATGACAGTAGTTCTAGGGGTACCAAACTGCATTCATCCTACAGTGTAGATGCACCTGGGAATCCAATGTAGATGCACCTGGGAGGTCATGAAACTTTGGACATGGGATCCATAAGTAAAGTAAAAGTTTCCCCTGGCATTAAGTCTAGTCATGGTGCTCATCTTCATTTCTAAGATGAAGAGCTGGCATTGTCCATAGACACCTTCAAGATCATGTGGTCAGCATGATCACTGCATGGAGCGCTGTTACCTCCCGCAGAAGTGGTACCTATTGATCTTCTCACATTTGCATATTTTTGAACTGCTAGGTGGGCAGAAGCTGGGGCTAACTGCCATGGGATCCATGTCTAAATGCAAATTTTCATTTATGTTTCCTTGAAACCTTATGCCTAAAGCCTGAAGATAACTTTACACACTATTCTGAAATACTTTTGTGCATGAAACAAGCTTGGTCTACAATGTGGAGGGCTGATTGTAGCTAGAAGAACAGAGAGAGAAATTATACGTGCAAGTTTCTTCTTTTGAGGATTCATCCACACTGGAGAATAAACACAGTTTGATACCACTTTAACTGCCACAGGCGCCAGCAGAGAAGGTGAAAGACCTTGGCAAACTCCAACTCCCAGTGTTTCATTGCATTGGACCATGGCAGTTCAAGTGGTACCAAAAGTGCATTCATCCTACAGTGCAGATGCACCTGAGAATCCAGATTTTGTATTGGGGTTATTGGCTGTTTTTCAGCAAGTACTGCTTCATTTTGAGAAGATAAAAACATCTTTTTCAGCCCAAGGATAGAGTCCCACGTTCACATACAGGCAGAATGAACACTACTCCGCGGCAGATAACATCTTTGCTTATTCCCCATAAAATGATGAAGTGTCGAGTGGTTTTATCCGCCTCTTCTTATCGCCTCGCCTTTGCCACCAGAAGGTACTTACGATTTGAAAGCTTGGCTATTCTTCTGCTTTTGCAAGGAGTCAATTGGAAAAAGCGTGAACACATCTCTTTGGATTCTGAGCCTCTTTGGATTTCATTATTTCCAGGCTGCGGCTCCCATCATCCCCACAGACAGATGGGCAAATGAGTGTGAACGAGGGCTTATTTAGTAGCCACTTTGTAGACTGCATCGGCACAAACCCTCAACCCAAATTATTATTATTATTATTATTATTATTATTATTATTAGATAAATGATAAAGTGGTAAGTGGTTTATCTGCCTCTTCTTATCTTCTTGCTTTTGCCATCCAAAGGTATTTAGTATTATTATTAATTGATATTATTGATATTAATATTATGAATATTAATAGACGTCTTCCTTTTAAACAAATGGACAAATCAAAAAACAAACATTCAAGCCAACGGACATACCTACATATTGTGACATTCATGTATGTATATACCTAGAGGGTCTTCAAAGTTTTCTCTTCCTTAGTTGGGATGATGGGAGATGTAGTCCTGCCCAAAACACACCTACGTTTTTATTTCCACTGTATTCTTGAATTCAAGGTTTCCTGGGGCCAGATTTGCTGCTTCGTTGGCTGTTATTTCCCTGAAACATACTGAGATTCGGGAAGCTATGGAGTAGAGATGCTAAGGAGGGGAAATCGATTCCTCTGCAAAACAAGTAGAATATCAAAAAGGCACGTTATTTGTATCCTATCTGTTTCCTTTCTTTGGAGAAGTGCCATGTTTTCCAGATCTTTGCAGCCAAAACAAAGGCAGAACCCAAGGCTGTTGGTCCCAATAGTCACAGGCCTTTGCACTACCTTATATTACTGCTTGAATGTTTTGGGAAACTAGAGAGAGAAAGAGCCCAAATAAGGCTTCAAACAGAGATGCTTCCATACCAGATATAGGTAAACCCAGGCCCGGGAGGTGAGCGGGGGGCTTGATGCAGTCCCTTAGGCTTTTTTCTCAGGCCCTTTTCTTTTTCACCATGATATCCTTCTTTCTTCTCTCTTTCCTCCCTCCTTCCCTCCGTCTTTCTCCTTTTGTCGTTCCTTCCTTCTATCTTTCCTTCCTCCTTCCTTCCCGCTCTCTTTCTCCCTCCCTCCTTCCTTCCCTTCCACCCTTTCATCCTTCCTTCCTTCCCTCTCTCCCTCTTTCTCCTCCCTCCCTCCCTCCCTCTCTCCCTTCCTTCCTTCCTTTTTGTCTTTCCTTTTTTTCCCCTCTCTCTCCATTCCCTTCCACCCTTTTCTTTCCTCCCTCCCTTTCCTTCCGCCTTACCTCCCTCCCTCCATCCTTCCCTTCCATCCTTTCGTCCTTCATTCCTTCCCTCTTTATTCCTTCCCTCCCTTTTGTTTTTCCTTCCTTCCTTCTCTATCCTTTATCCTTCTCTTCCTTCCTCCATCCTTCACTTCCTCCCTTTCTTCCTTCCTTTTCTTTTTCCTTCCTTCTTCCTTACTTCCTTCCTTTCTTCTCTTTTTCCTTCCTCCTTCCCTCTCCCCCTCTTTTTCCATCCTTCCCTTCCTCTTTCCATCCTTCCTTTCTTCTCTTTTTCCTTCCTCCTTTCCTTCCTTCCTTCTTTCCTTCCACCACCAGGCAGCCAGTTTTCCTATCAGCAAGTACTAGAATGTGGCCCCCAAGTTAGAAATTTTGCCCATGCGTGTTCTATATCGGCAACCAAACATGATTCAGGGTGCATCTGCACTATAGATTTAATTCAGTTTGATACCACTTTAACTGCCACTGATCAGCGATATGGATTCATGAGAGTTACAGTTTGGTAAGGCCCAGCACAGTTTGACAGGGAAAGGTGAACTACAACTCCCAAGTTGTCATAGCATTGAGCCATGGCAGTGAATGCAGTGTCACACTGCATTCGTCCTAGAGTGCAGAAGAGACTGTTTGGACTACAAATCCCAGCATAATCAGCCTGGAAAGTGTCGGCTTCGACGTCTGTGGGGCCATGGATCCGCTCCAGGTTTTAGTCCGAACTTCAGTGAAGTGTGCAATGCCTTGAACTCCATCCTCAAAAATAGGGAATGGATTCCTGGCTGCACTCATTTGAAACGAGTCTATTAAAACACGTCCATGCTCTTCTTATGTCCGCCCTGGGTTTAATGCTGATGGTATGACGCCAAGCCAAAGGACATGTCGCCTATCAGAAAATGACTGTGGCAATTTAGCTCAGGGCACCGATTTGCAGGTAATTCATCCAGAGACACTTTGTAATTTCTCCTCCATTATCTCCCCTTCAAATGGCAGGAACACAGTTGGAGCTGATTTGGGGAGCTGATTTGGTCAATGCAAAACGTGGGCAAAGGTTACTGGATTCGGAAGCATTCTGCCAATTCAGGGTTGCACTTGGAGTTTGCATCATGTGTTTGGGAGTGATGGCAATTCAGAGGATAAGAATCTCTGCAAGCAGAAAACTAACAGATCAGGCCTTGCTGTGATAGTTTTCCAAATTCGGGGGTGGATTTATTACATATTTATATCCTAAATTTGGGAAGAGGATATCTATTTATTTACATACTTCTTATGCTGTAATTGCAATTCACAGCAGAGAGAGAAGCTAGCAGATCAGGGATTGAGGAACGCTTTCCTGTGCTGGTTTTGGAAATGAAGGGATGGAGCTATCTATCTGTCTGTCTGTGTATCTACTATTTTTCATAGTAATAAATATATTTCTTTTTATATTTTTTGGAGTAGCACATATTTCACAGTTCATACAAGATTGAGAGAAAGAGAATCCCTGCAAGCAGAAAACTAACCCCATCAGGGGATAAAGCCTTGCTATACAAACTTTGGAAATGCAGGGATGTATCAGTCTATCATCTATTGATCTATCTATCTGCTACTTTTCAGAGCAGCATATATATTTATCGATATACTTTTCAGAGCAGCATATCTTTGGGAGAGAATGAGAATCCCTGCAAACAGAAATCTAGCACATCAGGGGAGAAGGCCTTGGAAATGCAAGGATGGATTTTATTCATGTATTTATATGCTTTTCAAAGTAGCATGTATGTGCATGACTGCCATTCACACAAGAAAAACGTGTAGAGGGAGAGAGAATCCCTGCAAACTGAAAGCTAACAGATGGGGGGGGGGGGGAATCCTTGCTGTGTTAATTTGGAGAGCCTTTTTCCTGGACAGATGGATGGATGGATAGATGTAGCTTTAGTTGTCATCATCGTTGTTGTCATTGATGTTGCTGTCATAATTGTTGTCTTAGTTACGGTTGTTGTCATCATCATCACTGTCATTGTCATTGTTGTTTTTGTTGCAGTTGTAGTTGCTGCCATTGTCGTTGTCATTGTTATTGTCACTGTTGTCATTGTTGATGCTATTGTTTTTGTTGTTGTCATTGTCGTTGTTGTCATCATTGTTGTTGTTACTGTTGTCATTATCATCATTGTCATTGTAGTTTTTGTCACTGTTGTAGTTATCATCATTGTCATTGTCATCATTGTCATTGTTGTCATTGTTGTCGTCATTATTGTTGTTGTCACTGTTGTCGTAGTTTTTGTTGTTCTTATTTTCATTGTTGCAGTTGTTGTCATTGTCATTGTCGTTTGTGTCATTACTGATGTTGTTATTGTTGTCGTTGTTATTGTCGTTGTTATTGTCATTGTTGTTGTTGTTGTGTGGGAACACAATTCAAGGCAGCCAAGGAAGTTCGGGAGATCCCTCTTTTTCTCTCTCTCTCTCCGGTTCCTGCTCTTTCCATTCAACTGCACCTGCAATGCATTGATCCTCAGAGTCAATAAAGGCACCCTGATGATCTTTGGGAAACAGGCCAACGCGAAGCAGGAGGGACAACGGACGTCAGGAGCAGCGGGAGAGCAGCCTATTCGTGCGCAAGGAGCACTGCCATTCCCAACAGACCCAAAACAGTTCTTCAGATCTTGAATGGAAGTCGGTAGGAACCAAGAGAGAGGTTTCCACCTCCTCCTCCTTGGACCAAATGCAACCATTGCAGCGGTGAGGCTGATGTGACCCTTTGGAACTACATCTCCCAGCATTCTTCACCCTTGACTGTGCTGAGCCTTGTTATCCAACCCCAGCTGGTTGAGTTGACATTGCACAGAGGTAGTAAAATCCTTCCACAAACTATAGATCACAGGATACTGCAGTGCATAGCCATTTGATCTGCCAAACAGAATCCTGGGATGTATAGCTTGGGTTGGGACTTTAAGTCCGCTAGTGCTGACAACAGTGAATCCCAAAATTCCTTGAGTTAATCCTCAATTCATTTTCTTAGAAATAGGTAAAAATGCAATGGCTTATCTTCCAGCCGCTATTGCTTTTTTGGTTATTATTCTGTCATCTGACATCATCAACACTCCAAAAAGCGGGGTTCTAGAGGCAGGGAATGTGTCATCCCAGGATGTGTTGTTGTTATTATTATTATTATTATTATTATTATTATTATTTGAAACACAACCAGATGAGTCCACAGCAAACACTCTGCTGGCTGTTGAACTGGATCACACATTGGACACTTCCCAAGTGTCTAGGAATGTGTGATGTATCGGCGAATAATGCGTGCAGATCCCAGTAAGGTGGCTTTCTGCAGCTGGCAGATGGTAATCTTGTCAGCGCCGATTGTGTTTAAGTGCAGGCCAAGGTCTTTAGGCACTGCACCCACCCAGTGTGCCAATCACCTCTGGGACTGCCTTTGCTGGCTTGTGCCAGAGTCTTTGCAGTTCGATCTTTAAATCCTCATATTGTGTCAGCTTTTCCAATTTCTCTTCAGTCCTGCTGTCACCTGGGATTGCAACATCGACAATCCATTCATTGTTTTTCAACACGATCATGAGGTCAGGAGTATTATGCTCCAAAACTCAGTCTGTCTGAATTTGGAAGTCCCAGAGTAGTCTGACGTGTTCATTTTCCATAACTTTTTCAGGCTTGTGATCCCACCAGTTCTTTGTCGCAGGCAGATGGTATTTATGGCACAAGTTCCAATGAATCATCTGAGCAGCGGTGTTATGCCTCTGCTTGTAGTCTGTCTGCGCAATCTTCTTGCAGCAGCTGAGGATGCGATCTATCGTTTCATCTGCTTCCTTTCAGAGTCTACACTTGGGATCTGTCATCAACTTTTCAATTCTGGCTTGAATATTATTATTATTATTATTATTATTATTATTATTATTATTGGTTTGCTGTAAGTTTTTCGGGCTGTATGGCCATGTTCATTTTCATGGTTTCTTCCTTTCTGTTGAAATTGTCCACATGCTTGTGGATTTTAATGGCTTTTCTGTGTAGTCTCACATGGTAGTTGTTAGAGAAACTATGAAAATGAACTACCAGTATTAAAAAAATCTGGCTACCAGTATTAAAAAATAACTCTAAAATCATAATGGTAAATAAAGAAAAAACAGGGGAATTCCAGACAGGAAACAATCAAGGACAGCTAATCACCTCTCAAGAAAGGATTCCCCAAGGCAGTAAGAAGCCACACCTTGAAAACCGCTAGGCCATTCAATGCAAGTCAAGGTGGCCAATTGAAACATTCACACCTACCTCCGACAGACAAGAGTTCTTTCTCCCACCCTGGACATTCCACAGATATATAAACCCCATTTTCCTAGTTTCCAACAGACTTCACAACCTCTGAAGATGTCTGCCATAGATGCAGGTGAAATGTCAGGAGAGAATGCTTCTGTAACATTACTTACAGCCACCCAGTGATTCCAGCCATAAAAACCTTCAACAATACATTATTATTATTATTATGATTATTCTCACTTTTATCTATGCAAACTATGAAAAAAGGGTTGAGCCTTTCTTCCCTCTCATTGATTCTCATCGAAGTCTCTTTTCTTTCCAATTAATATTAGAAACCATGAGAGGAGTTGAAATGTGTCCTTTCAGTCTGCTGCTTAGCTATTCAGGTAGTCTTTAATAACATTCACACCGTCACCCTATGGCTTTCAAATGGAAAAGTTAAGTTTCCCTTAAACCTCAAATGAGTGGGGGGTTTCCTTGGCCAGCAATGGAACTTCACAAGCATCCCAGTCCCCAAAAATCCCTGAGTTGGAGACATTCCCTAAATCCTTTCAATTTGGGTGGAAACAATATAGAAGACTCACCTTCTGGTTCCAAAAAGCCTCCCTTCTGCCTTCCTTTCTCTGCAAGCCTGGGATGAGTTTTCAGGATCCAAGGATCCAGGCGCTGCTTTGGTTTGCTTTTCCTTCTTCTCTTTTTTTTTTCTGCTGATGCAGCTCCTTTCCTCAATGTCCAAATGAATCACCAGAAGTCAGGCCAACATCTTATGAAACCAGACATGGCACAAAATGTGGGTTTTTCCTTCCCTTCCATTTTGGTTGTTTGCTCACATGGCAAGATAGGCTCTTAGGTTCCTTTTGGCTGGCCTTTTTGGCTCCAAGGAACCATCTCATGTCGGCGATCTAAGGTCGCTTGGAAGCCGAAACCCATTTTCTCCCCTATTTGGAGTCACAAAGGAATCCAAAATCATTCAATAATGGGATCTGCAGCTGTCCTTTTACAAAGCAGTCCTTTTCCCAGATGTGCTTTTTCCTGGCTGACCCAAGCTATTGGGCCGCCCGAGGACAAGGTGGCATCTCTACGATTTCCATGAGTTTATGGGCTTCATTCCACATGCCACGCAATTAATGCAGTTTGATTCTGCTTCAGGGGTTGTCTCTCCACACAAATGGGATTCGTAGTTTCTTGGGAGACTTATAGTGCTGGATTCAAAGGAAGGTGAGGGCAACATTCTCCCAAGTAAAACCTGACCAAAAAAAGCCCAACTGAGGGTGCATCTACACTGCTCGACACCGCTTTAACTGCTATAGCTCAATGCTAGAGAATCCTGGAAGTTGTAGCTTTCAGCCTTCTCTCCCAAAGGGTGCTGATGCTTCCCCAAACTACAACTCCCAGGATTCCAAAACAGTGATGCCAAACTGTGTTAATTTTATAGTAAAGATGCACCCTCGGAGTCATCTCAAAGGCACATAACAAAAACAGCCCCCTTTCTGTAACCTATATTCAATATGATCTGCTTGTTCATTAAACAATTAGTTCTTCAATAAATGTTAAGATTCTCCCCATCTCTTTACTCACAAATAATTTTCCCCCTAAGTTGTTACTGAGACTATAAATAGGAATGTACCTGTTTGTAGACTTGAAGTCACCAAATCTGGTCTAATTTTGGATGCTAAGCAGGATCGTCCCTGGTTGGTGCTTGGATGGGAAACCAAATTCTAGGTGCTATAAGGGATATTGCAGAGTAAAGCTATGGCCAAACCACCTCTGGATAAATCTTGCCCAAAACAAGCTAACGCCATAAAGATAACACAGTTAGGTCCACATCACCTGTCATGGATCCAGACTATGGATGCTTGGAGTGTATAGTTCGTAAGGAACTTGAAACCTCTCTACCAGAGAAAATCCAAGTTTTGAACCTGAAATCAGATAGCCGCTTAAGGAGAGGTGTGGATCATCGCCTGGCATGCTGTGCTAAGTTGACAGCCAGATGATAAAACGCAGACTGGGTGTGAAGGCAACAAACAGAGGTTTATTAACTTTCAGGCCTGAAATGATGTCTGATACGAAGTCTCCCCTCAAAAGGAATCAGGCAATGCAAGGCATTTTATCTCCTTTGACAGCCATTCAAAAGACCCACCAATGTCAAAGATGGACAAAGTTTGCAAATAATGGACAACTCAGTGGAAAACATACAGAACAATACAGATTCTATTGAGGCACAGTTCAGATCTGATATTTCTGAAACACCTGGATATCCTTTAGAACCTGGCCCTTATTGAATCTTAAAGAGGGTCTTTTCCTGTTTATTTCATAAATAAATCACAACCCTGTATGTAGTCGTAAGGGAAAACGCAGAGTGCTTAGCTGGAACCAGTCTATTGTTTTAGGAAAATTTCTGTTCCACCTCCCCAGAGCTTTGGGCTTGGTAGGTGATTGATTTAATAATTTTGGGAATTTCCAGGTTTTGAGTGGTTGCAGAGATGAACCTTTGCAAAAGACTGAGTTATAAGTCTTTTGCATCTGCAAAAATTATATTAATACAATAAATATATATATTTAAATGGCGTATTTAATTCACTCTTTTGAGGAGTGGGGTCAATTTCTCAACAACAGTTTCAGCTTTAAAGGGAGCTCTCCAAGGTGCTGAACCTATTTTGGAGATGAGTCTTGGACATCTTGAAGTTCAGACTCAAGACGGAGCAGGCTGGATCTACACTGCAGTATAATAAGGTTTGAAATGACATTATTTTGTCAGCGTAGACCCATATAATGCACTATATGGGTCTGCACCAGGCATGGGCAAACTTCTTCCCTCCAGGTGTTTTGGACTTCAACTCCCACAATTCCTAACAGCCTATTGCCTGTTAGGAATTGTGGGAGTTGAAATCCAAAACACCTGGAGGGACGAAGTTTGCCCTCACCTGGTCTACACTAAGCATAGATGCCTTCAAAGCAACATATACTGCCATCAGGTTGTTGTAGGTTTTTTGGGCTATATGGCCATGTTCTAGAAGCATTATCTCCTGACGTTTCACCTGCATCTATGGCAAGCAACCTCTAAGGATGCTTCTAGAACATGGCCATGTAGCCCAAAAAACCTACAACAACCCAGTGATTCCAGCCATGGAAGCCTTCGACAATACTGTCATCCATTTGCGAAACCTAGAACAAATGGGATATGAGTGAGAATTAAGCTTTCCATCACCAAACGTCTCTCCAAACTTCCAAATTCCCCTAAAATGATGACTTCACAACTTTGGAAATCCAAGCAGTTCTTCCAAGCCTGAATTTCAGGGTGTTGTCAGAATTACCTTAACAATCCCACCCTACCCCCCCAAAAATTAAGCCCTTTATTGAGTTTATAAGAGAAGGATTGTGAAGGACTTGCACCATTCAGTGAGAATGAACAGTCATACGTGTTCTTTCTCTGTGTATTCCTTTCCCAGTGATTCATTTCTTCCTGCCGCGCCAAATTGATCCATGTTCCCTGTGAAGTTTGCAGACAACTTCAGAACAAAGGGAGAGGTCAGTACTGGGCCAGGCAAAACTTTGCAAAAAATACTCTTCAAAAAAGTCTCCAAATCCAGCAACTAGTAGTAACTTCGATGAGTTGCTTCCTCCCTGGAAGAAAGGAACAAGTCTGTTACATCAAAGTTGTAGCTCAACCATAATCTCTTTCCATGAGATTATGGTAACTTTGCAGTTCCTTGCACCATGGCATTATGCTGGTCACAAGAGATAACAGAGGAGGAAGATCACATGGTCTATGTTCTGGCTCACACTGCTATCCGGTGCTTTATATTAGGGTTGTAGATGCATAATAATAATAATAATAATAATAATAATAATAATAATAATAATTATAACAACAACAACACTTTATTTATATTCCATCCTTCTCCCCGAGGGGACTCAAAGTGGATTACAGCACAGGCAAACATTCAATGCCTTGTTATAATGAAATACAATGAGACACAAATACACTGACAAAGGCAAAGGCTTTCGTGACTGGAATCACTGGGTTGCTGTAAGTTTTTCAGTCTGTATGGTCAAGTTCCAGTAACATTATCTCCTAACATTTCGCCTGCTTCTGTGCCAACCAGTTAACAGTTCCAAACAGAGGATGCCTCAGGTTACCTTTATGCAGATACGCTTACTGATTGACTTTTCATCTTCATGGCTACTCAATGCTATTCAAGCTTGGTAATTCCAATATTCACACTTGCTTTAAACAGACAAGGGTTCTTTCTCCCACCCTGGATATTATTCCACAGGTATATATATACTCCACTTGATTCACTTCCAACAGAACCTCCCAAGACGCCAGCCACAGATGCAGGCAAAACGTCAGGAGGGAATGCTGCTGGAATATGGTTATACAACCCGAAAAGCTCACAGCAACCCAAAGTAGCAGAGTTCCACCACTGAGTTTCACCTATAAAGTAGTAGAGGTTCCACCATTAGACTATGCCATTGCATCTAACGGGCCATCTGTTGGGAAGGCTTGGATGGTGTCTTCCTGCCTGCTAGAAGGGGGTTGGACTAGATGTCCCTTGGTGTCTCTTCCAATTCTATAGTTCTATGATTCTATAATAGAGACGAGGGGCAATACACTTTTTGACTGTATCCTCTACCACTGCTGGTTTAGGGATGCTGGGAGTTGTAGTATGACATTTCCTCCTACTCTGTCTTCAAGCAGACTTTCCTTTCCTTCTTTGCCCCTTTTAAAAGAGAAAAGGGCTGCCTGCCAGCAGGTCTTCTTCGCCTTCCAGATTAAACACCTCTTCAAATAATCACAGCATTCAAGGAAGGCAAAAAGCTTGCTGTCTGCAAACCATTGATTTATGAAGGTTGGCTTCTCATCCAAACACAGCCGGATGAATAGCGCTCAGGTGGCAAGACCTCTGCCTCAGGACACAGATCCTTTCGCTCCTGTTTGCTTTTAAAAAAATAAAATAAACTCTAAAAGGCATGAACATATAAGCTTGCCCGGAAAATCAGCTTGATTCACTGCACTCACCTCTTTCCTGGAAGCAAAGGGCCTCCAGAGTGGAGAGAACTTGGTCTTGCTTTGGACTACAATTCCCAGCATCCCAGGAGAATTTTAGAGGGAGTTGTAGTCCAAAAAATCACTATTCCATAATTTCTGGATATTGCAAACCATATCAGAGAATGAGCTAACACTGCAACTGTGTCATTCTCCTTCACTATCATTTAGATTGGTCACACCCATAAGAACCAATGATGATGATGATGATGATGATGATCAGCAGAGAATGAACCAGCACTGGAACCATGTCATCATCATCCTCTGCGATTTAGAATGAGCACACCCATAAGGATAAATAATAATAATAATAATAATAATAATAATAATAATAATAATAATAACAACAACAACTAGTGGAGAATGAGCCAGCACTGAAACCATGTCATCCTCCTCCACCAACATTTAAAGGGGGGATACCCATAAGGACCAATGATGATGATGATAACCAGCAGATAATGAGCCAGCACTCGATACTTGTCATCCTTCTCCTCTACCATTTAGAGCAGGCCTGTAGCCAGGATTTCGTTTCGGGGGGGGGGGTGAGTTTTTTTCAGGGGGGTTCGGGGGGGCTGAGTTTCGGGGGGGCTGAGTCTGAGTGAAAGAGGGTCTAGCCTAGCAAACCTTTTGTATCATTACCCCAATACCCCCATGCATATGGGATATATTGAGTATGGTGATCAGATCATGATATGAATAAACATAACAGTTTAAATAATGCACCAGTAAGGCCTTTTCACGAACCACCATGAGAATTTCGGGAGGGGGGCTGAAGCCCCCAAGCCCCCCCCCCCCCCCCGGCTACATGCCTGATTTAGAGGGTGAGCAACAAGGACCAACAACAACAACCAGCAGAGAATAAGCCAGCACTAGAACCATGTCATTCTCCTCATCTATGATTTAGAACATAAAGAGTAGTAGTAGTAGTAGTAGTAACAATAATAATAATAAGAAGAAGAACAACTAGCAGAGGATGAGCCAGCACTGGATCTGTGTCATCCTCCTCCACTACCATTTAGAGTAGGCACACCCATAAGAAACAATAATTATAATGATCATAATAATGGTGATAATAATAAATGAGGAGGAGGAGGAAGAGGATAGCAGAGGAGGAGACAGCACTGGAACTGTGTCATCCTCCTCCACTACCCATAAGGAGCAATAATCATAATGATCATAATAATAGTGATAATAATAAATGATGGTGATGATAGCAGAGAATAAGCCAGCACTAGAACCATGTCATGCTCCTCCATAACCATAAGGACCAATAATAATAATAATAATAATAATAATAATAATAATAATAATAACAACCTACATTGACTTCAAATAACAGTAGTGATTATACTAATAATACTGCAAATAAGAACAACAATCATAATAATATGCCGCTTTTTCTCTCTTAACAGAGATTCGAAATGCAATGCTAAGGCCCTTCAACTACCTTTAGGAACCTGGGGATGATTTCCATTTTAAAGCAACTTTCTGGGCTCTTCTTTGGCAAGGCTGGAGCCTCAAAAAGAAGCCGTCAGTTTGGGGGAAAAGGAACGGAACGTCAGCTTCTCCTACAGTTGCGGTGTCTATGTTTATTTTTCAAGCTTATCCAGCTGTTTTGGAAGAACCAGCCCCAACGTCAGCAATTTGGCCCAAAGCAGGAAACTTCCACCCAAACTTTTACAGCACTCTGAAAGGAGAAAAGGAAGGTTATGCCAAGAAAGCCATGCCCTGAACTAGGAAAGTTGTGGTTTTATTTTTTAAATGATGACAATTCATTGTTTCTATTCTTTACACTTCCAGCACTAACTGGATGCCATGCTTTTGCCCATCAAACTTTTTAGGAAATTGTTGCATTATGTTTGAACGTGGCTTCTTTTCCAAACCTAGCAATGATAGGAAAAGGGCATGGTTTTTGTTTTATTTAATGATGCAGTTATCAATATACTCACTTTGTTTACATCCATATTTATTTATTCATCATGTCAGAAGCGAATTGAGGGCACAGATATAATGCATTTGAAAACACAAACCAAGTTAAAGCTTGGCATTATACGAAATGTCCTTTGACCAGAAGCTGGCCACTTGGAGTGCCTCTGGTGTTGCTGTAAAAAGGTTCTCCGTTGTGCATGTGGCAGGGCTCAGGCTGCATTGTAGTAGATGGTCTGTGGTTTGCTCTTCTCTGCACTCGCATGTCATCGACTCCACTTTGTAGCCCCAATATGCACCGGAACTCTCAAGCAACTGTGAAAAAAGATCAAGGAAATAATACTTTAGCTAAAAATTGAAATAGATGTAGAAGACAGTAAAACTCTGTTACTTTTTGTCTTTATTTGCTATTATCATCAGTTCCAGCAGTCACCAGCCATCCCCTCCCCAATGCCAGAGATACAGCTTAATGGTGTAACATTAGAAAATGTTGACCATTTCCGCTACCTTGGCAGCCACCTCTCCACCAAAGTCAACATCGACGCCGAAATACAACACTGCCTGAGCTCTGCAAGTGCAGCATTTTCCCGAATGAAGCAGAGAGTGTTTGAGGACCGGGACATCTGTAGGGATACCAAGGTGCTTGTCTATAAAGCTATTGTCCTCCCAACCCTGCTATATGCCTGTGAAACGTGGACTGTCTACAGACGTCACATGCAACTCCTGGAACAATTCCATCAGCGCTGCCTCCGGAAAATCCTGCAAATCTCCTGGGAAGACAAGCGGACAAATGTCAGTGTGCTGGAAGAAGCAAAGACCACCAGCACTGAAGTGATGGTCCTCCAACATCAACTCCGCTGGGCCGGCCACGTTGTCCGGATACCCGACCACCGTCTCCCAAAGCAGTTGCTCTACTCTGAACTTAAGAACGGAAAACGGAACGTTGGTGGGCAGGAAAAGAGATTTAAAGATGGGCTCAAAGCCAACCTTAAAAACTCTGGCATAGACACTGAGAACTGGGAAGCCCTGGCCCTTGAGCGCTCCAGCTGGAGGTCAGCTGTGACCAGCAGTGCTGCAGAATTCGAGGAGGCATGAGTGGAGGGTGAAAGAGAGAAACGTGCCAGGAGGAAGGCGCGTCAAGCCAACCCCAACCGGGACCGCCTTCCACCTGGAAACCAATGCCCTCACTGCGGAAGAAGATGCAGAGCAAGAATAGGGCTCCACAGCCACATACGGACCCACAAGGAAACCCATGATGGAAGACCATCTTACTCGTCCAACGAGGGATCGCCTAAGTAATTAAGTAAGTAAGTAAGTAAGTATAAAATGACTGTATTATGATATTAATATCAATACATAACTTAAGGGAAGGGGGTACCATGCCATGGAAAATACAGATGATTTACTTTGATTTCTATTATATGGCAGTGTAGACTCATATAATCCAGTTCAAAACAGTTAATGTGGTTAATCTGATTTGATAATCTGTATTATATGGCAGTATAGAAGGGACCTCAGCTATACCTACTGTATATGCAAGACAATATGGTGAATGTAGGGCCCCATCTACACTGACCATATAATCTAGTTACTGAATGCATCTTTAAATTGGATTATATGGCAGTTGAGACCAGGTATGGGCAAACTTGGGCCCTCCAGTGTTTGGGCTACAACTCTCACAATTCCTAACAGCCTGCCGGCTGGAGGGCCGACATTTGCCCATGCCTAGTCTAGACTGCTATATAATCAAGTTTAAAGTAGATAAATTTATTTATTTACCATATTTGGATACCGCCTTTTTCAGCCCGAAGGTGACTCAAGGCTGCTTACAGTCAGCAACAACTAAATCTGCATTCAGAAACTGGACTATATAGCAGTGTATATGGGGCCAAGGTTTGTGCTGCTCTGCTTCTTTTGTCGGGTTCGGAAAAACAACGTGTGCAATCTGCATCCATTTATACGCAGGAGTGCAAGGATTCGGATGCTAGAAGCCTCCCCAGTGACATTTAAATTAGCTTATAGATTGGAAAAGGTTATCTGGATGTGTCTGAATGCTAAACGCCAACCGGCCACTGCACTTGTTGAGTCCGTCTTCCCTGGAGAGTCGGTGCCATTGAATTAAGGGCCTGTGCTTCCTGCCACCCTCTTCCTTTTTCTAATCACATTTCTGCTATTTGCATCAACTTCTCCATGCACCGGGTTGTAATCGCGTTAAGGCCTGCATCCAATTGGAGGCGTCTAGACGGAAAAAAGGAGGAAAAAAGCAGTTCCTTTGGGACTATTGAGAGGGTCCCTCCAAAGGGCAATGGCAGCGTGACCTCAAGTGACCCCCAAAGCACAGTGCATTCATATTTGTACTGATGGCCCATTTGCTATGGCCTTATTTTTATTATTATTATTATATCCCGCCATGTCTCTTCATTAGGAGACTCAAAGCAATTAAAGACATTATTTATAGTAATAAACAATATTCCTCATTTTCCCTCTCTTGTCTTCCTTCCTTCTTCCTTTGCTTTCCCTTATACACCCCTTTCTTTCTTTCTTTCTTTCTTTCTTTCTTTCTTTCTTTCTTTCTTTCTTTTCTTTATCTTCCCTTCTTTTCCTTTTTTCATCCTTTCCCCCCTTCATTACTCTTCCCTTCTTTCTCTTTCATTCCTTCCTTTCCTTCATACCATTTCCCCCTTTTCTTTCTCTTCCTTCATCCAGCCTTTTCTTGGAAGTCACACTCTCGCAGTCTCAGAACAAGACAACTAAGTACTGCACACAGACATATACCTAAAGGTCAATAGCTAATCCTTTCTATTTATACATTGCCCTCTTGTGGTTGCATTTAAGCGCTGGATAAATACATACAGGACAGACACTAATCCTTTCTGCCCCTATACTGCCCTCTTGTGGTTGCCCCTGAGCACTGCATACATACATAGTAATAGGATAGCAGCTAATCCTTTCTATCTATATTCTGCCCCCTTTTAGTTGCATATGAGCGCTACATACACACATACCTATGGGCCAATAGCCAATCCTCTCTATTAATACATTTCCCTCTTGTGGTTGCATCTGAGTGCTGCATATATACACAGCAATATGACTGTAGCAAATCCTTTCTATCTATATACTTCCCCTTGTGGTTGCATCCGAACACTGCATACATATCTAGTGATAGGATAGTAGTTAATCCTTTCTAACCCTATACTGCCATCTTGTGGTTGCATCTGAGTGCGGCATACATACATAGTAATAGGATAGTAGCTAATCCTTTCCATTTATATACTGTCCCTTGTGGTTGCATCTGAGTACTGCATACATACTTAGTGATAGGATAGTAGCTAATCCTTTCTTACTCTATACTGCCATCTTGTGGTTGCATCTGAGTGCTGCATACATACATAACAATAGGACAGTAGTTAATCCTTTCTATCTATATTACTGCCCCTTGTGGTTGCATCTGAGCACTGCATACATAGCTAGTGATAGGATAGTAGCTCCTTTCTTACTCTATACTGCCATCTTGTGGTTACATCTGAGTGCTGCATACATACATAACAATAGGACAGTAGGTAATCATTTCTAT